TTAATTGATTGTGGAAGTGCGTTCCTTGATCGGATAATATGACTGCCAGTACCCCATACTTGCAAATGAATTCATTAAATAATGCTTCAGCAGTAGTCTGAGCTGAGCAATCAGGTACAGCAGCAGCAACCACCCATCTTGTGAAGTAATCCGTAAGACATAATACATATTTATTACCACGTGGAGTTTGTTTAAATGGACCACAATAATCCATACCAATTAATTGGAATGGTCCTTCAGGTGGTGGAATTGGTTGTAAACGACCAGGTTTCTTCGATCTACTAATATTATATTGCTGGCACGGTAAACATGATTGTATGTATTGAGTGATGGATTGTTTCATGTTTGGCCACCAATACTTATTTTTAATTTTCAAATATGTCCTTTGAACTCCAAAGTGACCACTAAGAGGGTCACTATGATAAACTTGTAAAAGATCATTAATCATAGATGAAGGTAAATAAATTAATTTTGTTTTTGTATTACAACCTTCACGCATAATCATTAGCTTAAATAATAAACCATCTTTGAATTCATAAGAACTTTTTACTGGATTTTTCATAACTTCTGCAATTTTTTGTTGAATAATCGAATCTTTTCCTTGTTCAATTTTTAATCGTTCTATATCCAGTGTATTTTTTGCATTAATTTCTGATGAATCTTCTTTCGTTTGATCAGTTTCTTCTTCTATTGATGGTAATGTTGAATTTTGATCTTGTTTTAATTGCAGTTGTTTCACTTTGGATCTTGTCATAACTGCTCCAGCTAGTGGAGTAGTATCATCAGGAACACGACCCATAACAGTCTGTTCCCCTTTACCGCGTTTAGCAATACCATAATCTTCATCAAATATTTCTTCTTCTCTTGGAATTGGATGACGGGATAGATAATCAGCTAAACAATTGTGTTGACCTTTAATATGGATAATTTTTTCGATATTAAATTCTTGTAATAATATTGATATACGATCAACTCTTCGGTTCTTCACTGTTGAATTCATCATGTTACATAATGGACAATGATCAGTATAAATGATAATTGATCTTCCTAATAAATAAGATCGCATACGTTGGAAACATCCATATTGCTAGTGCTTCTAATTCAATCGGATCATATCTCCTTTGAGTAGAAGATGTTACTTGTGAATGATAATAAAGATTCTTAATTTCACCATTAATGTTCTGTTGTAAGGTTCCTCCAATACCAACTTTCGATGCATCAGTTGTCATAATAACTGGATAATTATCATTTGGATAATCAAGAAATAATGGAGAAGTTATTAAGAACTGTTTCAATTGTAAAAATGCTTCATGTTGTGGCTTTTCCCATCTAAAATTTTTTCTATTGTTTTTTGTTAAATTTGTTACTTTGTGAATAGGTGCAGCTATGGATGCAAATCGTGGAATAAATTTCCTATACCATGATAAACCACCCAGGAACTTATTCGCTTCTACTAACGTAGAAGGTTCCCTCAATTTCATAATTGATTGAATTCTTTCGTTATTTGGTTGAAAACCTCCTTCAGATATAATATGAGATAAATAATCAATTTTCTGATGGAATAATTTACATTTTGGTGGATTGAGTTGAAAATTATACTTGGATAAAATACATAATAATTGTTGAAGATGATTAAGATGTTCTTCAAATGAACGAGAGAATACCACAATATCATCGATGTAAACTAATGAAAATTGTCGACAAGGAGATAATATATCGGCCATTACTCTTTGAAATGATGGTGGACTATTCTTCAAACCTTGAGCTAATACATTCCATTCATATAATCCATCAGCTGTAATGAATGCCGTTTTATGTTTGTCCCCTTCTTTAATTGGTATTTGCCAAAATCCACTCTTCATATCTAATTTTGAAAAGAATTTGTAACCACCACCTAATCGTCGTATTGTTTGTTCCATATTAGGTAATGGATGATTGTCTTTAATTGTCATATTATTTAATTTTTTGTAATCGACTACCATTCGCCATGATCCATCATGTTTAGCCACTAATAATGCTGGTGCTGCGAATGGAGAATAAGATTTACGAATTAAACCATAATATAATAATTCTTGAACGATCTTGTACATTTCTTCTTCTTTGTGAGGTGTTGAATAGTATGGTCTAGATGATGGTGGAGGATGATCAAGTGTTTTAATTTCATGCGGTTTCACATTAATAGCTATTGCAGGTTTACTTGTATCGAAGAGTTTTTCATGTTGATGAAGGATTGTCTTGATTTCTTCTCTTTGTGTTGAATCTGTAATATGTCGAATTAATTTATTGATGTTATCATTAACTAATTGATGATCAATAGATGTACATTTACTAAAAGATAGTGTAGGAATAGTAGTTGTTCCCAGTATTAAACCTTTCGGTAATGAACATGAATAATCTGTTGGATTATAAAGTGAAACATTCGAGGTATAATCATGAACTTTTAATGAAGAATTTAACGTGAGTACAGATGTTCGTTGTCGTAATTTAAACGATGGACGAAATATTACATTAGCTGATAATAGTTCAATAGAAACAGGAATAGACCTTGTCTGTTTTGGTGGAATTCGAATATTATTAATTAGACGTGCTGGATATTTATTTTCATTTGAATTAATATCAAATTTTAATGTTGTACGTTTATAATTATTATACAGTGAAACAATTTTTTCTTCCGTATTTATAATTAGTTTATACTTGTTGATAAAATCCATTCCTAGTATACAATCAGCACATAATTCTTTAACAACAAATGCTTTAATAGAAGTTGATGTATCACCCATAATAATAGATAAATTTAATGTACCGTAAACAGAAATAGACGAACATCCATCAGCTAAAATTACACGCTTATGTAATTTATTAACAAACATCTTACCTGATGATGGATCTAATGATTTAATTGAGATAAAAGTTCTATTTGCACCTGTATCTATCATTACCTTCATACATTTATCATTTACAGAAACATTAAGATATAAAAGGGATGTGTTTAATGTCGATGGATTGACATGTAAATTTTCGGAAGCAACACCATCGACCGATGCTTCCCCTATTGAAAATGGGGACGGGTACAATCCCGGGCATAATGGCCAGGAGTACCACAATTGTAACAAACACCTAATTTCTGTGTTGATCTTGTAAAATTTGAAAATTTATTTTGTCGATTTGCGTTATTTCCAGCTGTTGTATTCTTATTAGAAGTTGTACGAGTTTGTGCTGCATCTGCATAGCCAGTGGTTTTTTGATTAAATTTATTGTTTGATGTTTGTGTGAATGTTGCTTGATTACGTAATTGATTTTGATAACTAGTTGCATTAATAATGGTAATATCATTGTCCGGTAATTCATTATTTGTTTTGGTGAGTGATAATACATCTTCAACCTTCCTTGCCGATAATAGAAATGCTTCAGTTGTTTTGGGATCTTGTAATGCTACATGCGTTTTCAATGATTCTTTCATTCCAGCCATTAAATATTTCAATTTCAAGGAATCAGGCATTACAGGATCGACTTTTTTACATAATTCAATAATTTTATCATAATATTGTGTGATGGATTGATTAACTGTTTGTTTATACCATTTTAATTGTTCAAATGCTAATTCTTGTACCTTTGTTGATCCAAAAGCTTGTGTAATAGCTGTAATAAATGCTGACCATGTTTTAATTGATGTGGATGTTTGCATCCACCACCTATATGCATCATCTTGTAAATGTATGGAAATATATCGTAATTTTTGTTCATCATTCCAATTAGCCATTGTAAAACGTTGTTCTAACTTATCTAACCAATCGTGTACATCATCTTGTGAACCACGAAAATATGTTGGTTTCTTAATAATTTCATCCGCTACGGTTCGTTGTAAATGTGATATAGATGAGTGATCAGGTACTGTGGTCACTAATGTGCCCGTACCCCCTGTAAAACTTGTTGATGATGATATTGTTGATTTGAATTGTTGAAGAAATAACTTGGTAAATGTTTCGAAGTTGAAAATTGCATCGCTGTTGTCAGCATACCATAAATAAGCATCGCCTTCTAATAATAAAGGTATAGCTTCAAATTGATCATCACGTCGTAAACCACATGCTTTAAACTGATTCATGGTTTGCAATAACCAATTTCTTGCATCACCAACACCTGGATATTTGTCAAACTTTTCATCGATAAGGTCTTCAAGTACAACTCGTCCAGTATTGTTTAATATTGAAGTATTAATCGACGGAGCAGTTGTTCGAATTAATTTATGATTAGATGAATTGTGTTCTAATCGTTCACGAAATAATGTCCAATCATTCTTAATTTCATCTTTATTTTGTTCATACCATGCTTTTTGTTCTTCATCTAAAAATTTGACCGCATAGGCTATACGCTGTGATGGTGAATAATTCAAATCCTCATAAACTTGATTCAATATAGATAACCATTTATCTGTACTAATTCTTTCTTCTTCTGTTAAAATTCGAACATGTCGACGTACTGACTCGTTTGGTGTACTTATATGTTGTGCTTGTGTTGTAAGAACTGGTTGCATCGTTTTTTCGATTGTTTTTGTATCTTCATTTAAATTCGAAGGTGAATCATCATTAGTCATAATTGAAAATTAAGTTTCGTCGTTGAATACGTAGGACAGAATCAACTCCTAATTAAGAAGGATTCCTTCTTTAAGAAATTATAACCGTCGTTGAATTAAAAAAAGAAAAATCTTTTTTTTTCTAAACCGCTGTCACCACTTGTTATGCTTTATTTTTCATTTAATTTTAAGGACGTTCGAGTTCATTTTGTTGAAGCATAACTGACTGACTGTTTATTCAACCAAAAAGAATGTATATATGTAAAAGGAAAAAGAAACAAAGGCTAGAACGAAGTGAAAAAGAAATAAACATAAGAATAGATGTCATGACCAACAACATATCATAACAAATGGCATCATAAGACTTAATTTTTGTTTCTTTGATCACATTATTGG